CTGTTATATATTCAGCATTTTTAAAAGCAATATGAAAGAAAAAGCAGATCTGTCATATTTAAGCAGTTGACTGTTTTGGCAGTGATTAGGGACAAGAAGATTATCATGAGTAAACATTTGGAATATTTTCTTTAAATTTTTTTCTTAAATCAAATAAAGAAGACAAAACAGTACAGAGGTGTTTAAAGTTAATATCCCTGTCCCTTCCTCTCCCCAATTGTGTCCTGAGTTAGAAACTGGTCATTTTGGATTATAGCCTCTCACACCTAAAAATATTTTCAAGCCAAGGCTATGCACAGCTCTATGGTTGTTACCTCTTGAGGGGATTCTCTTTTTAACTTGCAACAAGGTGTAGACACACACACTCCTGTCTTGAGGCTTTCCTCCAACAAGTTGTTCAAATCAGAATTCTTTTTAAAAAAATATATATTTTATTGATTCTTTTACAGAGAGGAAGGGAGAGAGATAGAGAGCTAGAAACATTGATAAGAGAGAAACATCGACCAGATGCCTCCTGCACACCTCCCATTGGGGATGTGCCCGCAGCCAATGTACATGCCCTTGACCGGAATTGAACCCGGGACTTTTGAGTCTGCAGGCCGACGCTCTATCCACTGAGCCAAACCAGTTTTGGCTCAAATCAGAATTCTAAGAGTTACTTGATTTTTTTTCTTTCCCTCACTTCTCACATCCAAACCATCCACAAGTCTTTAAGGTTATACCTTCAGAATTCAGTTTAATCTACTAATCCAGGCCACATTTCTCTGTGACTACTGCAGTAGGCCTCCCAGCTCCCATTCTCCATCAGTTCCGTGCCCCCAGCCTGTTTTCCATATGGTAGCAAGTGTTATTTATAATCTGAAAGTGGAAATGGGATTTTATGCTCCCGTCTCCACCCACCAAAGCCCTTCAATGGTATCCCATTCTGTAGTACCCCCTGCCCCCAAGCTCCATGAAGTCAGGAATACGTTTTTTAATGGCTTATACTAAGTCACTGGCAAGAGGAATGGAATTGTCATGACTGGCTTAGGCTCAGTCAGGACTTACCCCTAGAATTGGGCTGCCATCTCCTTGTCCATTGGGGAAGAATGGATGCATGCGTCTGGGTCTCGTGCAGTTTGGAGGCGCTGTGGGTGGGTGGGGACTTGACTCTGGCAGGAGGAAGACTTTCATATACATTTTACTAATTTACGAATTTTCTTTCCTCTGACGCTTCTATTATAGAGAAAGGGCAAATAGCAATATTAAAATATTTCCTCTAATCCCCTTTTAATGTCCATGAATTTTGTGCACCAGGCCACTAGTTGAATCATAATTTAGACATTTACTGAAGGAAACCGAAACAGATAATACTTTAAACTACTGGAAGATGAATTATCTCTTTTATTCAACAGATTTAATGTTGGATAGTTGTGGGAGGAAGAATGTGCTTTTAAAAAGTTATTTTTCTAGACCATGACATTTAACTTATAAAATTGGCTAAATTGTGTATTGTAGCTATTTCCTTCAATAGTATCCAAGCCACTTTGAATCTTATTGATTTTAGCAATAACTATAGATTTTAGTAGATTATTTTAGATAAGTAAGGGCTTCAACTGAAGAACAGGTTATTAGGCCTTGAGTTCTGTGCAAGAAGTATCTTTAAAGTTAGGTAACATTTACTAAGCTCTTACCATGTGCCAGGAACTGTGTAAGTAGTTTGATCCCCGTAATAAAAGGTGTATGAAGTGAAGTTTCAAACTTGATTTCAAGTATGATCAAGGAGATGTTAAGTAATGTTAAAACGAAGATTAGGTAGCTAATAAGTAGTGAAGTCAGGTTTGTCTGATTCTAAACCTTGTTATTTCCCACCTACTCCACAGACCCTGTAGAAGGATAACAGCTTATTAAACAAACCTTTAGACTCTAGACTTTGGTTTCAGCATGTGTGTAGCAAAAACCAAATAAATAGATAATAAAAGCCAGGTGAGTACCATGTGTCATGTTTTGTGACTTTTAAGTTAATCTCAAAGCAAGTTATTTTGTGTATTTAGATAGCTAATTAGATAGATTCCACACTAAAGGTTAAATAAGGTCTTTAAATTTTGAGTGTATTTTTTTTTTTTTTTGCAACACATTATTTTATACATTTCCTAGAGAATGTGTCAAAGGAAATGATTTTATGGTCAGAAGCCCATTCTTACCTCCAGAGGCAGCCTCTATCCCCCTCGTCATCATCAACCCTTCCCCATCACCCCCAGTCCCATAAACTCAAAGAAATAGAGAGGAATGAAGTTGAAGAGCTTCTTTGGTGTTTTAAGATCTGACTTTCTATAAACTGCTTAAGCTGGGTTTTCTAAGTGAGCAGTTCCTTAACTTTGAATTAGTAAAACATTAAAATATTTATGGCATCTACCACTGACCCCTTTTCTGCAACGTAGGAGTTAATCCAGCAGTTTCTGGTTAAATAGTGGTGTTAGGCAATTCAAGAATTACGACACAGGTTCTGATTGAGGAGGGCAAATAATACTTGTGTGAGAAGAACACCAGGCAGCATGGTAGTCAAAACTACCTCCTTTATAAGAACAAAACCCAAATGAATGCTGATTCATCTTTTATCTGGAAATTGGTAGATTATTTCTGTCAGTGGGATTATCCAAGTTTTTGCTTTATTTGCGTTTTCTGATTTTTAGGGAAAATTATAGACATTAATTTCTTATAAGATGAAATTATAATTTAAAAATATACATTCTAAATTAAAATCGTGTCCAGATATGTATATTTATACTTGGAATTTGTGTCTATATATTTTGGAGGCAGCTTTGTTGAGGTGTAATTCATGGATCATACAATGAACTCATTTAAAGTATACAATTCAGTTATTTTTAGTCTATTCACAGAGTTTTCCAACCACCACCACAGTCTAATTTTAGAACATTTTTATCATTCCAGAAAGAAATTTTGTACCTGTTAACAATTACTCCCTAACTCTCATTCTCTCTCTTCCCCTGCTATAAGCCTTAGGCAACCTCTAATTTACTTTCCGTCTCTATGGATTTGCCTATTTTGGACATTTCCTATAAATGGAATTATATAGCTCTGGTTGGGTGGCTCAGTTGATTGGAGGGTTGCCTGATACACCAAAATGTTGCTGGTTTGATCCTACAACCAAGGTACGTGTCGACCTATGAACCAAGAGGTCATGGTTCGATTCCTGGTCGGGACACGTGCCCAGGTTGCAGGCTTACATCCCAGTGTGGGGCATGCAGGAGGCAGGCCATCAACGATTCTCTCTCATCATTGATGTTTCTATATATCTCTCTCCCTTCCTCTCTGAAATCAAAAGAATAATAAAAATAAAGGAATACTGTCCTAACCTTTCACACCAGTGCTCCTCACGGTGTCCAGCAGATGCCTTACTTTGTGATCTCCTCGGGTGCCCTGGGCCTCACCCTGGGAATTCTTCTGAAGCAGAATCTCTGCATGTAAGGCACAGAAATCTTGCTTATTAAGTGTTTTCTCTAGGTTATTCTCAATCACTCTAAAGTTTATGAACGAGGACTTCTTTAGGAAGTAAATTTTGTGTAGGTTGCAGTATTAGAAATTAATAAGATTCATTCTGGCTACAATTCTGTGTATGTTTTGTTTCTGATAAAGAATGATAAATTTTTTCCCTCCAAGCTCAGTTGTAACTATCCCATACTGTGTGGTTAGGGTAGGGTTCTGGGGTCCTTATATGCCCCTTTGTTTTGCTGGTTATAATATGGATAATCAGATAACTGCTTTTATTATTTATATCCTCCTGCCACTCTCCTTCCCCATTTCACCATTGGTTAGGAATTAATGACTTAACTGGATGTGAGTTTTTTGAGAGTTACTGCAGGATAACGAAGTAATGAACGGTGCTTTTCCCAGCATCCTTGAATGACTCGTTGGAAGTTATTTCTGGCTTTCTCCACGGACCTCATGGTGAAAAGGGCTGAGTTGGGCCCTAGCAAGTGTCAGAATGTTCTCTGCCAGCAGCTGGCTCTCTCCAACCCCCACTTCCCATTCCTCCTCCTTTCTTCTTTTTAAACTTGGGCCCATGTGATGGAATTAAAGATTTGTTCCACTCTGATTTTTAGGAAAATTCTACTTCATTGTTGAACTCGGTGAAGTCAACTGCTGCATTCATTAGTTGGATTACAAATGGCTTATTGTAAAACTATACTTGTTCTTTTCTTCTCTCCCTGAAGGAATGTGTAAACAGGACATGTCACTTTTATAAGGAATATTTTTTAGAATGGGGGGAGGCTGGCAGTAATGTAACTCTTTGGACACACCTACAAGTTTCCCTTTATATGTTGCCCTATAAAGATTATTATCTCATAGTACAGTGTTTCCCAAAGTGTGGTATGTGTACCCCCAGGAGTACGGGAAGAGTTTGGGGGGGGGATATGCACTGCACCGTGCTTAGCTACGCCTACTTCTATGTTCTCATGAGTACGAGGGGTACTCAGCGTTACAAAAATTATAGAAGGGGCACACATATGTCAAAAGTTTGGGAAACACTGTCATTGAACAATAAATGATTTGCATTTTATAAAACCCATGATAGACTTTGTCTTTGCCCTGGGGCAAGGATGGATGTATCCCCTAGGGACTAATTACCCACATGTGACCTGACCATTTAAATTGATTAAAAGTAAATAAAAATTTAGGTCAGTTGAACCAACCACATTTCAAGTACTCATTAAGCCACATGTCACAAATGATTACCATATTGGACACGGTAATAGAGATAATTCCTATCATTGCTGAAAGTTCTCTTGGACAGTCTATACTAATATACTAGACTGAACATTTTTAAAAAGAGAAAGAGGCAAACGAAAGAGCAAAATAATAAAGACCCGAATTTCTACCCTTCCTCCGTAGTGCAACATTTCCTGTCTTGTACTTTTGATTAAAGCTCAGAAAAAGGTCTATTATTTTGAGTGTCATCACTTTGACCTCGTTTTTTAATGTTGGTTTCTATTTCCCAGGCTGGCAGCGATGGTGAAAGCATAGGAAACTGCCCCTTCTCCCAGAGGCTCTTCATGATTCTTTGGCTCAAAGGAGTGGTATTCAGCGTCACAACTGTTGACCTGAAAAGGTAAGATGTGGTTGAGTATATGTAGATTACTTTTTTCAGTTTGTTCTCCCCATCCCTCACTTTGCTTGCCATATGTTCTCTAAAGAAAATATATAGTATTAAAGTTCAGCTGATGTGTGGACAAACTTAACTTGTATTAAGTATTACGGTAATTCACAATTCAGTAAATTGCATGTAGCCACTCAGTCTTTTTAGGAACTCGTTGTATGCTTACCTTACATTTCAAGAGCAGCACCAGGAGCGAAGCTTTGGTGTGGGTGCAGTGAAATCTTTGCCATTCCTGTTTAGTAAACAGGGGTCTGTGAAGAACTTTCTAAGCTGACACCTTCCTGATCTCAATTTTGCTAAACATGGGGCCTATATAATCCGGATCCTTAAAGGCAAGAATATCAGATTTTAGGAGGATAAAAACAGCTTGGTCTATTTTATTTAACCTCCTTTCCAGGAAATAAAATGGCATTTTTAAATAATACAATTCCCACCATATTTGGTTAAGTACAATATTACTGTAAAATAAGAGCAGTTATCCATGGCTGTGATGGTCCTTGCTAGTTGAAGAGTTATTTCTCACTTTGGCCGTAGAGCCTAGTGGAGAGGGAGAAGGCTAAGGAGAGCCCTTAGAGGTAGTAAGTCTTGTTATTGAGGAGCTCCTGTTCCTCCTGAGGTGAAGAACATTCATACTAAAAGAAAAAAGATTTAAATCAAGGAGAGAGACTCACCTACAAGTTCCCCTTTATACGTTGCCCTATAAGAATAGTTATACCGATAGTCTAGGACTCAGCAATGGAAATGTGTTCCTCTTGATGCAACATGGTTTGCTGCTTATTTTAAAGCATATCAGTCATGAACAGTGTTCAAGAAAAAGCTATGGACTGGCCTTCACTTAATGGATGGCAGAATTCTTCTATGATCTCCCTCTGGGCATCACAGAGGGAGCATTTTGTGAGAGCTCTGGACTTACTCCCAGTTCTAGGTCAGCAATCCCTGGAACACCTGTCAGCTCCTTTCAGCTTATTCCTTACTGCTCGTGCACAATTTGAAAACAGTCTTAGGATTTATTGATTGAAAATGAGCCATGAACTCTTCCAGGAACCCCATTAATTATGTATATGAATGTAGAGAAGGCCTTTGGGGATAGTAAGAGTTAAAACTACAGGTTCTTTGGACAGAGCTATTGTAAGAATGAAATACTTCATGGAGTTATCCTTTGATTACTGTTTTTTTCCTACATGCATTCGCAAAAGAAGTTTCCCAATATAACTTCTAAAAATAGACCATGCTGCCAGGCACACGCCCTGGCTGTGTCTTAAAATACATGTATTTCTCCTATTCCATTTTTGGGTTGGAGCAAGTGAGTTGACTGCCATGCTTCCAAAAATCCTTTCAACAGCTCAATACAGTGCTTGATTGTGGCGCATACCAGCAGTGGTGTCATAAATGATGACTGTCTGGTTCAGAAAAGGAAGTTAACACATAATGCCTATTTCAAAGTCATTGGTTTTACTTTCCATTTACAAACTTCTTAAAAGGCATTATTCCAGTAAGTTGGTTGATATTAGAGCATATGTGTAAGTGTATGTACCCTACATGTCAAAAGTGACACATGAGCCCCCAGTGTGGCTCACTTGTTGGGAGCATTGTTTTATACATGGAAAGGTGGTGGGTTCAATTCCCCGTTAGGGCACATATCTAGGTTGTGGGTTCAGTCCCCATCTGGGCTTGTATGGGAAGGCAAATGATTGATGTTTCTTACCCCCCCCCCCCCCCTCAAGTGACACAGGAAGTACAATGAAAAATTCAGGGCCTCATGTTAGAAAATACTACCACTCAAAGAAAGGAATTTTATTTCCTAGGGCTTTTTGTAAAATCAGCCGAGTACACTAACACGAGAACCTGTATTTTTTAGTTTTCTTTAGAAATCCTAGGTCTATAGTATATATATTTAAAACTGGTTCTTAAGGGCAATTGAAAATATACAATCAATACATGATAATGAGTCCCTCCACCCCTAGTCATCAACTTCCTCTTCATAGATATCATTACATTTAGAGTTGGTTTTGCCCTAGCCTGTTTGGCTCAGTGGATAGAGCATCAGCCTGCGGACTGAAGGGTCCCAGGTTCGATTCTAGCCAAGTGCACATGCCTGGGTTGCTGGCTCAATCCCCAGTGGGGGGAGTGCAGGAGGCAACCGATCATTGATTCTCTTTTGTCATTGATGTTTCTATCTGTCTATTCCTCTCCCTTCCTCTATGGGGGGGGGGAGTAGAAAAAAATATATATTTAGAGCTGGTCTTTATCCTTCTAATCCTTTTCTATGAGTTTACTCAGAGTCTTTAGTTAGATTTCAAAAAGAAAGTGAACATTGGCTAAAAAACCCTGTAAAATCAAATTGTCACAGAGGAATACAGCATCCTGTAGTGAAAAGTACCTTTCATAATGTAGTCTTAACTATGTTTATAGGGAGCTGTGGGAGGAAATGCCTATAGTGCTTACTTTCCTGCTTTTTTCTGATCCATTGTCTAACTCCTCAGTGAAACGTGTGAGCAATAGAACTTTCCTGAGAGCTACTTAAAAACCCACTCTGTGCTCTGGAAAATTATTGTTACTTGACATTTCATCCATAAAAATCAAGCCAGCTCTGGCACAGTGTGACACATTCTCTTTGAATCTCAATTGGTGTTAATGGCTGTGCTGGTGGCATTCATGTGCCTGGGGAACTGGAACAGTCTCCCGTCGCTCGCCTGTGTGCTGCCTTAGTGCTTCAGTGGGAGTCATTTTTAAACCCAAATTTTCTGTTCACGCTACAATTGCATTACAGAACTTTTGGATTCAAAACAGTGTCCAAGCTTCAGGAGAAATTTGGGTGTTACATCAACCACCATTTGAATAAAAGCTTCAGATAAATAAGTGAAAACATTAAAATTTGAGGGAGTGTTTAAAGATGTTATCACATGTCCTCAAAGGGGAGCACCCGTGCGTAGCAGCAGGTGTCAGGGGTAGGACCTGGTTGTGTTTGGAGAGAGCCCTGGGATCTTGGGCAAGCCTCTCCTCTGGGAAGTCAGTTGTCTCTCTCTCTCTCTCTTTTTTTTTTTTTTTATAATTTTTCTTTTTTAATATATTTTATTGATTTTTTACAGAGAGGAAGGGAGAGAGATAGAGAGCTAGAAACATCGATGATAGAGAGTCATCCATCAGCTGCCTCTTGCACACCCCCCACCGGGGATGTGCCCGCAACCAAGGTACATGCCCTTGACCAGAATCGAACCTGGGACCTTTCAGTCCACAGGCCGACGCTCTATCCACTGAGCCAAACCGGTTTTGGCTGTCTCATTTTTAAAATCAGGAAAAAGGAAGGGAAACATTAACTAACGTTTCTTCAGTCTGTTATGTGCTAACTATTGTTCAGGGTACTTCTGACTACTCTCATTAAACCGTTTTCAGACCTGCTACTGAATGTAATTATTATTTTTTTTAAATAACACTGCTACTATAGGGTCTTTCTGGCTGACAGGTTCCTGGCAGCGACCAAGATCTTTATTTGAAGACTTAACGCTATCTTCATTATGCCCAGTTCATAAATCAGAGATTAGCATTTCTAGAGCCCAGATAAACCTGAGATGTAGGCAAGGGAGAGAAAGAAGAAAGTGTGAGAACAGGGAGCGGCAGAGAAAGAAAGAAAAAGAAAGAGAAATTGAGACACTGACTTGGCATATTTTGTCACATACTTGCTGGGGTAAACTCTGGTTTTGAGAAATGAGAGTAGAAATGATAACTTTTAAGATATTGACTTTATTGTAAAAGCAGTGATATCTGCTATTTTACTAGTGAGTAAAATCCCCTTCCATGGTATTTTCTGAGGAGAGAAAGTAAATTGAAGACCACTTTTTAAAAAGACGGAGAAACACGTTTTCATTTCCTCATCCCCACCTTAAACACTGAAACTATTCCCTCCTTTGCAATGTCATTTCTGACTTCTTGTTTTAAATGACAACATACCAAATTGTAACATATTATGTGAGTCAGACCCACATGTAAGTTGCCATAATAATGGCATAAAGGTTTAGAACAGTGGTTGGCAAACTCATTAGTCAACAGAGCCAAATATCAACAGTATAATGATTGAAATTTCTTTTGAGAGCCAATTTTTTTAAACATAAACTGTATAGGCAGGTACATTGTTAATAACCTAATTAGGGTCCTCCTAAGCTGGCCTTGGCTAAAAACTCAAGGGGCCAAAGAGCCCCATGTGGCTCGTGAGCCGCAGTTTGCCGACCACTTGTTTAGAAGGTTATGGTAGTTTAACCTTTCACAATTTAGTAATAGTTTAAGATGTTACAAATGAAATGATAAAATAATAGTTCTGCATATCTTAAAGGGCCGTTATAAACTTAGAACAAAATCTGATTTCAATTTAGATTCCTTACATAGTTTGCTTTCATTATCATGTCTCTGTGGTTCTAACTTTCTGAAAACAGCTTTCAGCAAGTTGAGAGGTCAGTTTGATTTCCAGGTAGTTCTTCAGAAACAGCCGTGTGACTGACACACAGAGACTAAATGGATGGAACAGGCCAGCCATTTATTTATTTATTTATCCCCCCCCACCCCCCCCCGGTTTTCACACTTTTATTGTAAAGCTCGGGAATAATTACACGGGTCTTCCATTGACAGCTCAGCAAACAAACCGCCAGGCCAGCCTTTTAGAGATCATCCATTTCCTACTGCTCCCAGCCAGGAAAGGACAAACTCCATTCTTGCCCTTTGTAAATTTGATTTGAGTTAAGGAAGCCCTGTTAATTCTAACAATTCAAGATATATGTCTCACCAATGCATCCTGAATCATGTATATCCCGTGCACACACACGTGTGTGTGTGTGTGAAAGAGACAAATACATAGAGCTGGAGAACTTGGCTTTATGTTGTTTTTCAAGATTATTTCAAAATGATAAACACTGTTGAGCCACTAAGAGCTGAATTAGAAATATGTTAGTGAATATTTATCTAACTCTGTTATTAATATAACTACTTGTAAGCTGTGCTAATAAAATCTGTTAAGAATTATAGAAGCTGTATTTGAAACCTTCTCATGGGTGCTATTTTGTTTTAAAACAACTGTGCCACAAACCAACATTAAAGTAGACAAACTTCAGCAGTATACCACATTGATCAAAATAAGTAAAATCCTTTAACTGATAGAACTGGTACAAATAGATAAATGCTTGGTAACTAGGATCTGGTGTGTGTCTTGGTGAGTCCAAATCTACTGATTCAGTTAGTGGCTTTACTATTAGAAAGTAGCAAAGCTAGTGAAGAATAAGCAATAGGAATAAATTGAAATAAAGGATTTATGTTAACTTGTTTTTGCTCATTTGTTTTGTAGTGTCCAGTATTCTCTTGATTTATGTGAATTAATATTATGCATTGAAACTCAGCACCTTCAGAAGGAAAGGGGAAGTTCTACATACTTAGTATTTTTTTTCTCCATTTAGTGAGTCAACTAAATACAGACAGGGCATCTTTAATGCCTCGGTGTCCTGTGGCCGAGCTGCACTCCTCTTAAACCAGGCAGCTGGGCCTGAGCCACTAGCCCCACGGCCCCCAGTTGGTGCAAGTGTACCCAATTAAATTTTAATTGATGTTAAGCCACTTAAGTTGCCCAAGTATTAGCTCCTGTAAGGTTCCTCCTTTTCATTTCTCTCTGTTTATTGTTTGTTTCTCTTTATTTCCTTTTCTTCACCTGGGAACAAAATGGTAGAGAACAGAATATATATTTTTTTAATCTAAATTATTCCTACTATGGAAAAAAAAAAAAAAAAAAAAAAAAAGGTCTACTTGGTAAGAAACATTACAAAAAAAAATTCAGCCCTGACTGGTGTGGCTCAGTTGTTTGAGCACCATCCACTGGACCAAAAGGTTGCTGATTGATTCCCGGTCAGGGCACGTAACCAGAATGTGGGTTCAGTCCCCATTCGGGTACATGTGTGAGGCACCCAATATATGTTTCTCACATCTGTGTTTCTCTTCCTCTCTTACCCACTCTCCCTTCCTCTCTAAAATCAATAAAACATTAAAAAAAGAACAAAAATATATCCCACAAACATTGAAGTACATTTAAAAAAATATATATATTTTATTGATATTTTACAGAGAGGAAGAGAGAGAGATAGAGAGCTAGAAACGTCGATGAGAGAGAAACATCGACCAGCTGCCTCTTGCACACCCCCCACTGGGGATGTGCCCGCAACCACTGTACATGCCCTTGACCAGAATCGAACCTGGGACCTTTCAGTCCGCAGACCGACGCTCTACCACTGAGCCAAACCGGCTTCGGCTGAAGTACATTTTTTGCTCTTATCTGGAGGCATGAATTCTGTGTATTTTGCTTTTTCTAGATATGTCACTCAAGGCAAACATTTGAATGAGTTCAACTGAATTGTTGAATATTTATTGAAGGTCTTTCATGATATAAACCAAAGATTTATACATTTTTAGCCATTGCCTATCAGTTCAGTTTCATTGATCTCACACCGCAGTTCCTGAAATGTTAAGTGTTTGGAAAGCATCAGTAAAATGAGCCTTTGTGGGTCAAACAAAACACCCAAGGCCTCAGAGTTCCAGGTGAGAACCAGAAGCTGAAGAATCTTAGATTCTCTTTGCTTGATGACCTGATACATCTGTCCAGTTCTGACCACTGTTTTTGCTTAACAGGAAGCCTGTAGACCTGCAGAACTTGGCTCCTGGGACCCATCCACCATTTATAACTTTTAACAGTGAAGTCAAAACGGATGTAAATAAGATTGAAGAATTTCTTGAAGAAGTCTTATGCCCTCCCAAGTGAGTATCAACGAAAAATGCATGGAGCCAAAACCGGTTTGGCTCAGTGGTGGAGCGTTGGTCTGCGGACTGAAAGGTCCCAGGTTTGATTCCGGTCAAGGGCATGTACATTGGTTGTGGGCACATCCCCGGTAGAGGGTGTGCAAGAGGCAGCTGGTCGATGTTTCTCTCTCATCGATGTTTCTAGCTCTCTAGCTCTCTCCCTTCCTCTCTGTAAGAAAATCAATAAAAAAGAAAAAAGAAATCTTAAAAAAAGGAAAAGAAAAATGCATGAAAATTCCATTTCTTTAAAGCTTTGTCTTGATTGGTATTTGAGTTAAATTCTCACAGTGTTAAGTTGGAATGACTAGGACTTCTCTTCATTTATTGTAATTAATTCTACACAGATGTCAGCATTAGGTAGGAAGCTGTTGTAAGTAGGTTTGGAGCATGTGAGATAGGTCAGGGAAGACTGGTTGGTTGAGGGACATTGGCTCCAAGTTGAAAGAGAAGTTTAGGGAGGAGAAGAGATGGGGAAAGGCCGCTTTAAACTGAGCCCAGCCAGGATGTGTGAGCAGGTATGGTGCAGGCTGCTGGGGATTTCTCACAGGTCATTTCAAAGGGAACGCTCTGAAGCTACCGCCCAGAGGAATTGACTTTTTAGACCAGTCCCTGGGAATAACTTTGCATTTATGTACTTCTTTGAGGTGTTTGTTCTAGATCCCAGGTCCTACATGATTGATAACAGTTTTATAGTTCTATTTCCTATAATGTAAAGTACAGTTGTAGACTAGGTGAACTCTCATGACAATTAGCTAAGTTGCAGACAGGCAGTTTTGCATCATACTGTAATCTTGGCATTGTTTTAAAGTATTACTGAATTCTTTTAGGCTTTTCCAGTTTCATTATCTTCAAAACTGGAAAAAGAAAAAAAAAAAAAATCCTCCCCCCCCAATCCATGCCTTTCTTGCTAGTTACCATCATTTATCTTCTATAACCAGATACATTTCCCAGAAATGGGTTATTGAGTCAGAGGTTTCAAAATTAACTAATGACTCAATGTTCGTTCATTCACTCACTGTGCAAACAGTTATTGGGCAACAAAGCCCTGTGGACACAATAATGAATCAGACATAGTTCCTGAAACACAAATATGGATGGTGGTAGTGCTGGTTGCGGTTTGGGAAGTGAGTGGATCAACTGTAACTGAAAAATAAATGATTAAATGGCAAAAAGGAAAGAGAGTGAGTGCAATCGGGGAAGGCTTTAGAGATGATTTGAATTAAACTTTAGTTTAAAAAAAGTGGCATTCAGCAGGTGAGGGAAGGAGTGGCAATCATTCTAGGCAGGAGAATAATTTTGAGTCAATAGTGTTTCTTTTGGAGACCTGACGGTATCTAACCCATCTTCCATTGAGAACAGAATTGGCCTGTTTAGCAATCTTGTACCAGCTTAAAATTTCATTTTCTTACTCCTGTATTATAAAAGCTTATCCTCTGCCTTTCTTCCTGTTTTTCTAAGAGCTTTAAACTTCTTTTACCTCTACTTATCAGGAGTCCAAACCTTCCTTCCATCCCCAGTCAAGTTTCCTTTAGACCAACACTAATAAAACTGTACCTTGACTTTTCCTCCAGACCTGGTTATATAAGCAGAATACCAATAAATCCATACTGAGGTCTTTGTATTTGCAAAATGTAAATGGTAGGTTTATACATATCAGTAAGGAGCTGTTACGGCCATATATCCAACTTAGTAGAAATAACTCATGAAGTAATGTTGCATCATAGAACCTACTAGATCCCTTTTTAATTCTTAAAAGTCTGTCGGCCCCGAGGGAAGCTGCACATTTGTCTGCTTGTCCTCAGACAGTGATGAAAGTGATCCTCCTCTCCTGTAACTGTAGAGCATGTACCAACATTAAATTATAAACAGCGACAGTTTGAATGGCTTGCCATCCGCTGTGAAGAAAACTGTGTTTTGTCTGAAGTGTTAAATCGGTAAATTCTCCCAAGAGAGTTGTTTTTAAAGTCAGTATGCTGATATCTTCATATACCATTTCAGTCAAATGGACATTTTCTTACATTTTCATATAGTTTTCTTCATCAACAGCAACAACAACAAAAGTAATTTTTATTAGACCTTCTTGTTGTTTTTCTCAGAGGAAATGGACATTAAGATAATATATCTAATATCAACATATTCTGGTTTCTTGACATTGGTTTTTGAATTGGACCATGGAAATAAACATTTTCACTTTGCTTTTTATATATAGAAACTTCAGCCTCATTTTGTTTGGATGTATTCATAGAGATACATTAACCAGAAATAGTCTTTTCTTTCAGTTTAATTTAATTTAAAACTTGGAGATCTTTCTGTTATGCAGGGTTCTCAGTGTGCTAAATTCTCTCTAAGAGTAATTTCTTTGTTTTTATGTTGTAGCTTATAATCAAAAGAGAGTTTCTAAATAATTTTATAATTTACTTAATTTAGAAAGGAGTGTTTTTGATGTTGCTAATACCTCTGCTGTTATTAACTAACATTCAAGTACCATTATGTGCCTTATGCACAGTGCATTATAGGTTATTTTGTGGATTATCTCAATCCTCTCAAAGACTTTATGAAGAAACCAAAGATGAGTAATGCAAACAATTTGTCCAAGGTTAACGGTGGCAGAGCTGACGTACTTACTTCCAAAGCCAGGTTTATGTAACTTCAAAAACCCATGTTTCTCCTATTGTCTTCTTTCCGATTCTCATTTTGTTGAGTTTGACTTTTATAAGAGAGGTAGAATGTGTCTTTAAGTGGGATTACGCTTTAAAGAGTACCAAATTGAAGGCTAGCTTGAGCTTAAAGGAAGGGTCAAAGAGAAATCCTAGAAATTTCCTTTACTTTGATGAGCAGGTTAGACGGAAGGTGGTTGTCAAACTGAATTGAACGAGTCCTTTTTAAAAAGCAGGTGAGGTTTAACTTCTGAGGAGCTTTTGTTTGTATGCATTGCAGCAGCATGTTTGGATTGGGAATTCCTTCCTTTCCGTGGGCAGGCGGCACAGTGGTCTCTGCACGTAGAATTGTATTTCAAGGAGGACTAGGAGGAGGCGGGTTCCTGGGACTGTGGCATGCGTTCCTCTCCCTTCCCTTTATTGTCTGTGACGTTCAGGGACCGTCCTGCGCACTGTCACTTAGAACAGGTAGACCTTCAGGGCCTTAACTCTGGCTGATCCTCCTCACAAAATTGTAAGCTTTCTTGTTTCCAAATAGGATGAGGCGAAAAGGCAGAAGCGTTCTACACGCTGGTAAATGAAAATCTAGCATTTCTAATAAATGACTTTGGCATTTGATGATAATGAGAACAGAGTGTTTTTATGTGAGCACATCTGCTTTAGTCAGGACAAATATAAATACAGGCAACTGTCTGTTCCAGAGTTGTTTTGAATTTACAGACTAAGGGAATGCTTAAATCAAGCAGCTTTTGCTGGTCAGCGTAACTATAGGTTTTAAGAAGAAGCTTTCTCTTTTTTCTTCCATGGGGAAAGTGTTTATGTTTTTGTTTTTAGTTTCCCTTGCTTGAATGAAGGAACTACTTTGCCTCCTCCACCTCTGCCCAAAAAAGCTTTGAAACTTGGAATTTTAACTAAAGCAGGACTATGCACTTGGCTAACTTACTGATAAAAGGATAGAGAAAGCTAGATACTTTTGGAGAAGAGCTCTCAAAGGTATTATGAAGCCTTTTTAAAAAATGAGAAATACAGGTAATGAAAGTTGAATTTATTTACCTGGATGATGAACATTCTTTTTTCTTTTTTTCTTTTTTAATATGTTTTCATTGATTTTAGAGAGGAAGGGAGAGGGAGAGAGTGTGTTAAAAACATCAATGATGAGAGAATCATTGATCAGCTGCCTCCTGCACATCTCCTACTGGGGATCGAGCCCACGACCTGAGCATGTGCCCTTGACTTGAATCCAACCCAGGACCCTTCAGTCCACAGGCTGATGCTCTATCCACTGAGCTAAACCGGTTAGGGCAACCTCTGATTTTCTAAATAAACTTTCTCTTACAAAAAAACAAAGTTAAATTTATAAGGATAATTTAATAAGCTGTATAACCAGACTTTATTCTTACATTAGTACGAGAAAGGAGAAAATATATGAAATCTTTCCTAAAATGATGGGAATATTATTAGGTAGTCTACCATTAATACAGAATAAAGGACTAATCTAAAAGTCTAAATACCCTGGATGCTCATGTCCATTTTATGGTTGACACTAGCTTTTATTAACTAGTTACCTTCCTTTTGTTAAATGTTAAAATGATTGTTATAGTAATTGAAATTTATTCTTTTATCAAGCTATCTGCTAAAACTAATAATAATTGATGACTTAATAAAATCCAGTATATGTTTTTAAATATATTTTTACTGATTTTAGAGCGGAAGAGAGAGAGATATAGAAGCATGATGAGAGAGAATCATTGATTGGCTGCTTCCTGCATGCCCCCCTATTGGGAATCGAGCCTACAACCTGGGCATGTGCCCTGAAGGGAATCAAACCATGACCTCCTGGTTCATAGGTCAATGCTCAACCACTGAGCCACACTAGATGGGCTGATGTATGTTTTAACAACACTGCAACTGAGGAGAGGAAAAACATGTGTTTTAGTTTGGGAAAACTTTTAATTCAGGACTTTGGGGCTGGAAAATAATTACTTTTAGGCAAAATAAACATTGAGATGGTCTCTTGTATTGTATGCACATAAACTTAAGCTGTAGTATTGTATACACATACACTTAATGATTTGTCTTGGAAGGCAAAAACAGGGCATGTTTAACCTGCTTTAGAGACAGTATTTTAAAAAATTTTTGATAGCATTTATTTCCATATGAATAAGGATATGCTGATTGACAGTTCTTCATTCTTACCTATTCATCAAAACAGATCTCTAAGTGTATTCATATAGAAATGCTCATCATTACATCCCAGCACTTAGTACAATGCCTGACACATAATAGATAGTAATTAGAATAAGTACCCTCATCAGTGTGGCTCAGTGGATAGAGCGGCAGCCTGCGGACTGAAGGGTCTCAGGTTCAATTCTGGTCAAGGGCTTGTACCTTGGTTGTGGGCACATCCCCAGTAGGGGGCGTGCAGGAGGCAGCTGATGGATGTTTCTCTCTCATCGATGTTTCTAACTCTCTATCCCTCTCTCTTCCTTTCTGTAAAAAATCAATAAAATATATTTTTAAAAAATTAGAATAAGTGATATATATAAATATATATAATGAATAGTGAATATATACACGATCTGTTATGTAAGCCTGCCTTCTTGTAAGTTATTTTGAAAATTATGAAGTTCAGTAGAAAAAGTTGGTACAGCTAAATATTGGTTGGGGAAAAGAAGACTAATTTTGGAAACTTGGCTAGAGAAGGACATAAATGTATTTGGGTAGGCACTTAGGTTTCTTGCACTATTTTTCTGTTGGAATGAGTCAATGAAGGTACTGTATAACCAGTGGTGAAAGCATTTAAGTTGGAAGTTGGTTGTTTTTGTAGTCAAGGGAAACCCAGGGATGTTGAAAAAGGAATTAACTGTTACAGCTCGGGCAGGGAAACAAAAAAAGTGTGTGTGTGGATAAGGTTTTCTATAGATAGGAGCAAAAAACAAAAACACGTAATATGTATATCTAAAAGCTCGGGAAAAATTAATTTACTCTTAATTGCTCACTAAAAATACTTTAATAATTTTGTTTTTACGAGGAATCTTTAAGCTTAAAAATTGAGAGATATTAACAAAAAAAAGATAGCTGGAACATCTAGATGTTCCATAGATATTTTATATTCTTCTTGCCTATATAATATACTGTGTTTAATTTTTATTTATTTATTATTATTTTTTAAATTGATTTCAGAGAGGAAGGGAGAGAGAGAAAAACATCAATGATGAGAGAAAATTATTGATTGGCTGCCTCCTGCACGCCCCCTACTGGAGATTGAGCCTGCAACCCAGGCATGTGCCCTTGACAGGAATTGAACCCAGGACCCTTCAGTCCGCAGGCTGACGCTCTATCTACTGAGCCAAATCAGCTAGGGCTACTGTGACCAATTTTTAGAAAATATATTATTTCTTGCATTCAAAAAAGAAAAGTGTAAAAAATATGACTATAAAAACTGACCTGAAACCACACCTTGCAATTGAACTAAATATCTAAAAAATACTTCATCTTCATTTTTAATTTAAAGAAAAGCGGTAAAAGAGTACCTTAAAATATATAAATAAATCTAAATTAGAGTTCAGTATAAGATATTTTTCTGAAGTCTTACTGCCCGAAAGCCCATTTTCTGGTGAAGTTTTGGAGGGCCTTTCCTAAAGTGGTCTATGAGTCTGAATTCCTTCAGCCCTGAGTCCCTGGAGCTAATGCAAGAGGAAAGAGAACAGTGTTAAACTTTTTACATCTACTTTCCAATTGAGGAAAAAACATATGGGTATGTGTGTTTTAAATTGAAATACGCAAAATACACATTTGTGTCATTTTTTTAAAGCTGTTGTATCACTAATAACTTCTCCAAGTAGGAAAACTAAGCACTTGCTAGCAAAATTCCCGACATCTTATTTTTCTGTTGCTTAGCGCCCCTTACAAAATGCAGTATATGAGAGGCTTTGGAAAATCCTGAGTGTAGGGCGATCTGAAGTGAGCAGTCTGCCTCTTGCTGTTTTGGTCCCTGACCCTCCGGATGGACAAGATGCTGACTAGCCAAGGCCTTTGCTGCTGCCAGGTTCTCTGGGCTGGCTCAGGCACCACACACCAACCATCCGGCTAGCGTCCTGGTTAAGAAAGCTCTACAGCTGGGAGAGTGTGGATTTTGGACTTTATTTAATTGCCAATTCAGATATAGAATATTTCCATCATCACAGAAAGCTTCCTTAACGCCACCCTAGGGATCTCTTTCTAAAGTGCCATTGGCTTGGCACAAGACAGTCTCCTCAGCGTTTTAATTTGTAAAACGTAGGTGGAGTGCGGATACCTTTTGATTGCCAAGAGTATTAATATGTGAACAAAAACACTGTGCAGAGCTTTGTTTCTTAAGGGGAAAAAAAAAATCTTAAAAATATCCTAGAAAACAGCCCGACTGGCGTGGCTCAGTGGTTGAACGTCGACCTGTGAACCAGGAGGTTGGGGTTCGGTTCCCAGTCAGGGCACATGCCCAGGGTGTGAGCTGGATCCCCAGGGTGAGGCTTGCAGGAGGCAGCCAATTGGTGATTCTCTCTCATCATTGATGTTTCTCTCTCTCCCCCTCCCTTCCTCTCTGAAATCAATAAAAAATATATTTTTAAATAATATCCTAGCCCTGGCCGGTTTGGCTCAGTAGGTAGAGCGTCGGCCTGCTGACGGGGGGGTCCTGGGTTTGATTCTGGTCAAGGGCATGTATTGATACTTCGGTTGTGGAGTGTGCAAGAGGCAGCTGATTGATGTTTCTTTCTCATCGATGTTTCTGACTCTTTATCCCTCTCTTTTCCTCTCTATAAAAAGTCAATAAAATACAATTTTTTAAAATGTTAAAAAACAAAACAAAAAACTACTCTATAAAAAAAATCCTAGAAAAACAGATGATGGTATTTTTCAGAGTAATAATAACTGTTAAAAGATGTCTAGGAACTGCTAGCACAATAGTTTTTTGATTGAGGGGATTTATGCTAATGTATCTTTTGGGGATCTTTAATACATTATCACTTTTCCATTTAGGTACTTAAAGCTTTCGCCAAAGCACCCAGAATCAAATACTGCTGGAATGGACATCTTTGCCAAGTTCTCTGCATATATTAAGAATTCAAGGCCAGAGGCTAATGAAGGTAAAAAGAATGTTTGGGTTATCACTGCACAAAAACAACACCCCTATTATGAGGATGATTATAAATGAATACTTTGGGATCCAGACATTCGCATATGTGTTAAAAACTGGCTTTCCCAGTTCATCAGAGATTTGAGAAAAACCAGGTTAAGTCCTTAAATTGCTGTTTTCCTGTGTTTCTAGCTTGTGGGACAGTACCTAGCAGTATAGTAGGTGTGTGGTAAAATGTTTATTGAGAGAATTTGTTCTCATATTGTGTGAAGGGAGCTATGCAAAGAACTAATGGCATATTAAAAACGGATTGGTGGAGCTTAATTTAAACCATTACTAAATCTTGTTTATTGTTAGGTGCCAGCATTCTAAAATCAGCCCCAGTGGATTTTGGATTTTTGTGCTAATTACCCTTACAGAGCAATTTTTGGATTTGCTTTAAGATAGCCTTTAGTCTCACCAGCCTTCCAAATTTGTCTGCATCCTAAAAGTAGGATTTTAGTTTCAAGTCACATTTTCATGGTGAGGATGGTTTCAGGCGTCTTCAAACTACGGCCGGTGGGCCACATGCGGCCCGCAGAGGAGTCTGATCCGGCCCGCCAGGTTTTTTGGGCAGTGAGCGCAGCCGAGGTGTTACAGTAGGAATTAGTAGTTCATATAGTCCGGCCCTCCAGCTCTCTGAGGGACCGTGATCTGGCCCCCACTTTAAAAAGTTTGAGGACCCCTGGTTAGGTAATAGGGATGTGATTTTATTTTATTTGTTAAAGGACACACTCTCATTATTTCATTCACCAAAGTTATATTTGGTATATCGGAGGGAAGGGGTCCTTTTGTGTGTTCTGTTTTTCTCCATTTTTTAAAAATTGAATTTTAGAGAGAGAGGAAGGGAATCAAGATTGGGGGGAGGGCCAAAACCGGTTTGGCTCAATGGATAGAGCGTCGGCTTGGGGACTGAAAGGTCCCGGGTTCTATTCCGGTCAAGGGCATGTACCTTGGTTGCGGGCATATCCCCAGTGGGGGGTGTGCAAGAGGCAGCTGATCGATGACTCTCTCTCATCGATGTTTCAACTCTCTATCTCTCTCCCTTCCTCTCTGTACAAAATCAATAAAATATATTTAAAAAAAAAAGATTGGGGGGAGTAAGAGGGGTGGGGGGAGAGAGAGAGAGAGAGAGAGAGAAACATTGATGTGAGAGTGAATCAGCTGGCTGCCTCTGAATGGCCGTTTCCCAGATCCCCTATGGGGATCAAGCCTGCAACTCAGGCTTGTGTCCTGATCAGAATCAAACTGTCAGCCCTTAGAGCACGGGAGATGCCCAAGCAACTGAGCCACACCGGCTGGGCTGAAAGAGGTCCCATTTAATGAACCTGTTTAACCACACCATTCACTGATTTCCCTTTCTCTTCCCTTTGTGATGTTAAGAAAACTGTATAGGGAGAGCATTCATATTTAAGACTTACAACAATAACCAAAAAGCTAGCTCCTAAAGATTTTAATCATCCTTTTAATTTTTGTTTTTATTTATTGATTTGATTTTGTCCCACTTATTTCTGCATTCATTGGTTGATTCTTGTTGTGCCCTGGCTGGGGATGGAACCAGCAACCTTTGTGTATCAGGCTGACACCTTAACCAACTGAGCTACCTGGTCAGGGACTCCGCCTTTGTGTTACAGGGCGGGGAACGTCCTGCCTGCGGGCAAAGGCCGGGAGGTCATTTGGTCGGGCTTTTAAGTTGATGATTTTGTATGGCCCAAGGATAATTTTATAAATATCCAAATGGCCCTTGGCAGAACAAAGGTTCCTCACCCCTATAGACTGTTGAATTTTTTTAATATATATTTTCCTATTTAAAAAAAGAAATATCTGATATTTAAATATATAAAATATATATTTGTGTGCTTTTTGAATAAAAAGCTGTTTGTGTCACTAATGACCTCTCAAAGTAGGAAAACTTCGTAACAACACAACAGAGCACTTGTTAGCAAGATTCCTGACAACTTATTTCTCTGCTGTCAGGGACACCCTTACAAAGTTAACATGTGGGAGGAACTTCCGAGTGCAGGGCGATCTGAAGTGAGTGATCTGCCTCTTGCTGTTATTTTGTCCCTAACCCTGTGGATACCCTAGAGGGGTTCTTTTGGGTAGGAGTTTATGGCAGCAAATGGCCAAGAATACGAAAGTGGCGTGGGGTTGGGTGGGGCTCAGGGCTGGTTAAGCAGGAATAACATTTTTAAAAACATTGAAACAGTTGCTAATTTCCTTATCACTTGGACAGATTTCCAAGCTTTTCAGGCTTCAGGCTCTTAAAAAATTATTATTAAAATATAAAATTGCTGCATTTTATAAATTAGTGTTGAATTTCAGTGGTTTCTGGGATAATATTCACTGCATGAGATGTTTTTCTACAGAGAAGAAGCAGAGGGAGAAGGCGAGTGCTCGGGCCTGGCTTATATCTATTAAATGTGTTAAATGTGTTCGAGAGGCTGTCTTGGTTTGGGAGCAACTCTCCTTAGTAATTGGCTTTTTTTTGGACTAGGTATTGTTTCTGTCTAAGCATTTTATACACGAAGCAAACAGTTCCACCAGAGCACGTTCTGTCCACAGTGTCCGTTCTGTCCTACCTTTTCTTTTCATAAAACTGTCTTGCTGCATAGTTCTTTGAACTCTCTTAGTTAATCATAATCTTTTTATTTCTCTCTGTGGCTTTTGGAAGCTGGGAGTGGTTGAATTTCTTTTGACACTTGGTGGGGAGGAGAGGGGAAAAAATGTGTCTGCTGAAAAAAATTGCTTTGGTGAATGGGGTTGATTGAGTCATTTAAGTATAGCTTTGTATTCTATTTTTCCTTATCAATTTGTTACTGTCTTAAGTAGCCACCTATGCTTACTGTCTGTAGAATTCTGTAACTGATAAGAACAAACAACAGTGGATTACACTGTGCATAACTAAGAAGGCCTTATATTAAATTACCTATTGGTAAATAAGAATTCCAGTTGCCAAGCAACTTTTCCCCACAGGGGCCTGTCACGGCCATGAGACTTTAGAAAACAATGTCCCAAATAATTTTGTACCTTAATTGATCTCCCTTATGCATATTTGTTGCAAGTCTCTTATCTTTCTCACACAATTAAATGCCTTAAATAAGCCTAGGAAATGAATGATCCAACTTCTTTTCTCCAAACAATGAACAACTTAGAGATGGATTTGTTATTTTATATGGTAAGTCAGAATAGGCAGATTTTTGATTCGTCTTACCAGCCTGTGAAATATTTTATAAACTAATATTTTACAAAGCTTTGGACAATGTTAAGACCTCATTCAAAGTAAGGGATCAAATGCCTAGATGCTACAATATTTTAGGTTGGGGCCCAAAGTAAATAATATCTAAAGAATAAAATAAAGGGAAACACTGAAGATAGATAGAAGATAGATAGAGGGGGGGGGGGGCAGAGAGAGAGAGATAGATAAAATATATAATTCTTTTGGTAACATGTCCAAGTTGATTGGGAGTACGAGTTTGTGAAATGTTTTGAAGCATTAAAGGAGATTAATGAGTAATTCCTTTTACGGGGATGGGTTAGGTATACGACCTGTCCCAAATCTGTTTAAACCTCAGTTAATTTATATAATTTATTAAGCCCACAATTGTACTAATGGATAATTTATTAGTCTGTTTGGTATTCATAATATTCGTCATTTCCCTGAATTTACTAGTGATGAAAATCTGTCATTATATGCTCTGAAGCATATTCCTTAGTGTCCAAATTCCTATTTTTAAATGGAGGAATTGAATCTTTAGGTTCTAATTAATTCCTTTTTATTCAGGACTCATTCTCCTTCCCTTCCTCTCTTTCTCTCTGGAAACGTGGAATCAGAGGATGATTGCTAATCATTGTAGCTATGAAACTGCATTATTTATTTAATCATCTTTACGCACTACTTCTCTTGTTTTCCTCTAATGTTACCTAGTCTTTAAAATTGTTTAGGTCAGATTACCCTTTATTTAAACTAGCAGATTTAAAATATAGTTTTATCCATGTAAGCGCTCATAATTTGTGTTTTCTTCTTTGTGAATTCTCTGCAACAGTTAGGGGCTTGTTACATTTAATGGTTTCTGCCTTATGTTTATTCATCTGAGCTATGCAGGTAATAGAGTATGCCTGCTTATTTAAAAAGGTCAAGTAGTATAAATATAATTTAATAAAATTCCAGTACTCCTTAATGACATTATGTAACATCTTCCCCAACAGTATATATCCTCTTTTCTATGTAATTTTGCCGAGTACATAAGTGTGCATTTATATTTTATATTATACAGTTGTCTTTTTTCACATATTATGTGGTAGAAATTCTTTAAAATATCGAACTTTACTTCATTTTCTAAGAAAAGCTGCTTAATATTTCATAACATGGAGTTTTAACCACTTCTTTGTTGGTAGACATTGAGATCGCCTTTTTTTTTTCTTCATTATAACAAATAATGCTGCCTTATACTAGATCCCAAATGGGTTAAAATGTTTTCTTCTCCAAAAGTGTATACCAGTTAATATTTCCACTTATGTGAGAGTATTCATTTCCCCATACTCTGACCTGGTGTATGCATGTGTGCTAATCTTAAATTTTGTTGTGTTCTCTTAGGCAAAAAAGGTTGTTTTGATTTCCATAATTAATTTAAAACTGACTGTATGGCTTCTATTTATTTATTTATTTATTTATTTAAACAAATTTTTATTGATTTTTTACAGAGGGGAGGGAAGAGAGATAGAGAGCTAGAAACGTTGATGAGAGAGAAACAACCAGCTGCCTCTTGCAAACCCCCCACCGGGGATGTGCCCGCAACCAACGTACATGCCCCTGACCAGAATCGAACCCGGGACCTTTCAGTCCGCAGACCGATGCTCTACCACTGAGCCAAACCGGTTTTGGCTATTTATTTTTTTTGAGAGCTTTTGAAAGACCTTTTTAGAGAGGTTAGTGTTACTACAGCATGAGTATTGGAGAACAATAGTGCTCCTTAATAATTACAAAAGACAAGGAGCTGCTTTCTGGTGGTTAGCTACTGCCCTCTAGCGGTTAATCTTTACATTTTCTTTATTTCAACTTCAAATTCCTTTGTGATGGTTTGTCTTTAAAACTTGTTCATTAAATGCTGTTTAATGTCTTTCGATACTTCTATTTTTCTTTATTTTGTTGGCCATTCATTATATTGCTACTTAAAAGTTATAGCAAACTAATTCAGCATTCTTTGTGTTTACTAATACACTTTTTATTCTGACATTTTTAACTTTGAAAAATTACCCAACATGCCGGTACTGGTTTGGCTCAGTGGATAGAGCGTTGGCCTGCGGACTGAAAGGTCCCGGGTTCGATTCCGGGCAAGGGCATGTACCTGGTTGCGGGCACATCCCCAGTAGGGGGCGTGCAAGAGGCAGCTGATCGATGATTCTCTCTCATTGATGTTTCTGACTCTATCCCTCTCTCTTCCTCTCTGTGAATAAATCAATAAAATATATTAAAAAAAAGAAAAGAAAAGAAAAGTGACCCAACATTCTAGTCAGGCACCCCAATTGAACTTGATTGCAGGAGCTGTGCGATTGCAGGAGCTGTGCTAAGTCCAAAATTATAGAAAGAACAATAGTTGTAAAGTTTTGTTACCTTAATTTTAGTTCGTGCCTTACATCTGGGATTCTAAGCATCGTATGATATAAACCTTAAACTTAAGATATTTTATTTTCTATTGGATACATTTGAAAATTAATTCATAAAAAGGATTGATTTAGAATAGGTTGAAGATTAATAACTTGCTCAAACTTACCCTACCACTCAAGTCCATTTGAGACATTATTTCAATGTTTAAATCCAGGCAGTATTATCTTCCTTACTGGCCATGCTTCTGTTCATTGTAATCATACAAGGAAGAAGTTGATGATTTAGTGGACTATTAGTTTAATGTAAACCAGCCCTGAGTTTAAAATGTAAATGTTTTAAAGTGTAATAGTAATAGAGAGTACCTGTATCAAGGACTGAACATAACTAATACATTTTTCTTTCTATTGAATTGATTGGGGTGACAAGATTAAACAGGGTTAGATGCACACATCCACACAACACATCATCTGTACACTGTATTGTATGTTCACCATACTAAGTCAAGTCTCCTTCAGTCACCATCTATCCCCCCTGTACCTGGCAGTCACCATGCTAATACATTTTCTAAAAGCATATTATAATCTACAAGATTATATTAATCTACAGTGATTAGATACTGCCTTTTTTTGCATTTAAGATTTTTTTTGTGTGCAGACTGTTATTTTTAGCTATCATGGAAATTTAGACAATTATAATCATTATCCCAATTATTTTTATTGTGGTAAAATTGGTTTGTAACTTTGCATTAGTTTTCAGGTGTACAACATAATTTGATCATATGTGTGCTATAATCACAGTAATTCTAGTTTCCCCCTTCACCAGTTTTGCCCACTCCCCCACCTCCTTTCCCTCTGATAACCATCCATGTATTCTCTGTTTCTGGGAGTTTTGTTTGTCTATTTGTTTTGCTCTTTAAATTCTACATACAAGTTAAATAATACGTACCTCAGTGACACTGTGGGTTCTGTTCCAGGTCACTGCAGTGAAGCGAGTATCTCAGTAAATCGAGTCTCATGGATTGTTGGTTTCGTAGTACATGCAAAAGTTGTGTTCCTGCTATAATCTAATAAGGGCATGAGTCTTGTATGAATCATAATCTTTTTGCAGTGGAGGGTCTTGACTCCAAGTTGGTGGCTGGCTGATCAGGGTGGTGGTGGTTGCAGGCTGAGGGGTGGGGCTGTGGCAGTTTCTTAAAAGAACAGTGGAGTTTGCCTCCTTTCCTGGACGGTGTCTCTGTAGTATGTGATGCTGATCGATGGCATTTTACCCACAATAGAACTTCTTTCAGAATTAGTTAGTGCTCTCAAACCTGCTGCTGCTGTTTGAACCGAGTTCAGGCAGTATTCTAAATCCTTTGTTGTCACTTGAGCAATCTTCACAGCATCTCCACCAGCAGATCTCATCTCGGCAAACCGCTTCTCTGCTCATGCGTTCGCACAACCCCTCATCCATTTTAAGCTTATCTGAGATTGCAGTGACTCAGCTACATCTTCAGGCTCCACTTCTAATTCTGGTTCTCTTGCCGTTTCCTCCACATCTGCAGCCACTTCCTCCACTCGAACCCCTCAGGGTCATGCACGGGGGCTGAAACCCACCGCTCCCACCTGTTAGTGGTGATGTTTTCACCTCTTCCCATGACACATGAATGTGCTTAATGGCCCCAGAATGGTGACTCCTGTCCAGAGGTTTTCAGTGGACTTTGCCCAGATCCATCAAAGGAAGCACTATTTACAGCAGCGATGGCTTCACAAAGTGTATTTCTTAAATAAGACTTGAAAGTCAGAATTGCTCCTTGACCCATGGGCTGCAGAACGTCAAGAATTTTCCTTTGCGTGAATTCTCAGCTTGGCTAATGGTTTGGCACAAGAGGCCTGGCCTGGCATTTGGCCTACCTTGGTTTTCAACATGCCTTCCCCACGAACTCAATCATTTGTAGCTTTTGATTTAAAGTGAGAAATAATGTGATTCTTCCTTTCACTGAACACTCAGAGGCCATTGTAGAGTTTTTGATTGGCCTGTGTCCAGATTGTTGGTCTCAGGGAATAGGGAGGCCGGAGAAGGAGAGAGATGGGGGAATGAATGGCCTGTCAGTGGAACGGTCAGAACACACACAACATTGATTGATTATATTCAGTTTGATATGGGTGTGTTTTGTGGTGCCCCTAAATAATTAACCAGCAGTAACATCAAAGATCACGGATCAGGTATCACCATAACGAATAATTATGAAAAAGTTTGAAATATTGCAAAAATTACCAAAAATTTAATGGAGAGACATGAAGTGCACTGAACCCTGCCAGTGTGGCTCAATGGTTGAGCATTGACCTATTAATCACATTCGATTCCTGGTCAGGGCACATGCTAGGGTTTTGGGCTCGATCCTCAGTAGGTAGGGGATATGCAGGAAGCAGCCGATCAAGGATTCTCTCTCTTTATTGATGTTTTTCTCTCTATTCCTCTCCCTCTCTTTGAAATAAATTAAAATATTTTTTTAGAAAAGAAAAATGTCATTGATAAACTTTGCTCAACATAAGTTGCCACAAACCTTTAATTTGTAAAGAACACAGTATCTGTGAAGCACAGTAAAGCAAACTCGCTCCCATGAGGTGTCTGCACTTGTCTTTGTCTGACTTGTTTCAGTATAAAGACCATCATTCCTTTTAGCCATGTCTGATGTCTGAACTACCTGAAGGGACCAAGGGACGGGCAGGTGGGAGCATTTTGGAAGAAAAAGTTGGGTTAGGATATATTTATGTTGCTGGTGAAATATCTATTATAATAGGCAGCATGTGAAACTTTGCCTTTTCCCATAACAGATGCAACTTTATTCAGATTTATAGCTAACTAAGTTGTCAACTCATAATATTTAACTTTCTTTTATAACCAAGTACTGTAATCATTTGTTTAAGTTTATATATTCTGGGAGTGGGGGTGAAGGTGGGTTGGGAAGGTTAAGGTTAGGAAAGGATGAGAGAGGATCTGTCAATATTTATTCCATATTCCTTTCTAACAATGTCCCACCTCCTCGCTAATAAGGTTACTAACTTACTTTCCAGATATACAGGGTTGGCTCTGTCCCACTTCTCTCTCAATCACGACAATTATAGCATCTTAATCTATTTGCCTAGAGACACCCTCACGTCAGCTTTAATCTGATCTCTGTATTTCATGATATATGCAAGATGCTATTCTTGGCTTCCTGTATAATATTAGTACAAAAACTCCAGGTTTTTTGCTCAGATTGTTTGCCGTGGGGTTTAACAATACATTTTGTGATGAAAAATCCAAATGTTCTTAGAAGAGTAGGACTTAAAATTGAGAGTAAAAAATCTGTTTCAGCAGGATTTTCTAACCTAGAATTGAACTAGTAGGTTTGTTTCTCACCAGTCTTTCCAGTTTATTTTTAAAAATATGTTTTTATTGATTTTAGAGAAGAAGGAAGGAGAGAGATAGAAACATCAATGATCAGAATCATTGGTGGGCTGCCTCCTGCACACCCTGTACTGGGGAATGAGCCTGCAAACCAGGTATGTGCTCTTGGCTGGAATCGAACCCAGGACCCTTCAGTCCACAGGCTGACACTGTTCACTGAGCCAGACCAGCTAGGGCCAATCTTTCTGGTTTAAACATCAACTATGCTATGTGTTCATATGTGGGCTATTGAGCTATTAACAAGATTTTACAGATACCACTGTCTGAAACCGCCATGCTTGTTTTTATATTTATCTGAACAAATTTGTTTGTCCTCCCGCCCCATGTAAGTAATCCCAGGAGGACAGGCACCTTGTCTGCTCTGTTCTCTGTGCTTTTTGACAGCTGCTGACTGAAAGAGGAATGCTTCTGCTTTGGGGGTTTGGTGGGCTCCCTTCTTAAAGTGTTCCCCTCTCTCTTGCAGCCTTGGAGCGGGGTCTGTTGAAGACACTGCAGAAACTGGATGAGTATCTGAACTCTCCCCTCCCTGACGAAATCGATGAGAACAGCATGGAGGACATCAAGTGTTCCACACGAAAATTTCTGGATGGCAATGAAATGACATTGGCCGATTGTAACCTGCTGCCCAAGCTGCACATTGTGAAGGTAGGCCTGTGGATGTGGCGTCTCATTGCCACTGACCTTGTCAGCTGTGTACAAGGCAGCACTTCCTTCGTGTGTAAACTTCTCTCATCTCCTGACATGTAGGAACCTCCCCCCTCCAAATAGTATAATCTAACGCCGCTTAGGCCTTGTACGTCATAGAGTTAATGAAAAGGAAATTATGTCTGAAAATTGAGGTGTGTGAGAAAGAGGGATATTACATTTTTCTCTGACTGCATAAAAATTCAGAGATGTAACAGGTAACTTTGGATTGGAGTTGCTCACTAACAGGTAATCAGATTCTGCTCTGTGATCACCTGGCTTTTTCTTTGTTTCTTCTTTTTCTTTCTTTTTTCTTTATTTCAGAGAGAAAGGGAGAGGGAAAGAGAGAGAAATATCAGTGATAAGAGAGAATCATTGATTGGCTGCCTTCTGAATGCTCTCCACTGGGGATTGAACCAGCAACGCAGGCATATGCCCTTGGCTAGAATTGAACCCAGGACTTGTCAGTCCACAGGTCGATGCTCTATCCATTGAGCCAAACCAGCTAGGGCACCTGGCTTTTTCTGTTCAAGGGAAACATGCTTATTGAGCATTTACTGAATGAGACACTGCTGAATAGAAAGTAATAAACACTAGTTGTGCAGTAAAGATTGAGATAGAGAAAAACAGATCTAAAATAGTGAGTGTGGTCAAAACCGGTTTGGCTCAATGGATAGAGCGTCAGCCTGCAGACTGAAAGGTCCCGGGTTCGATTTTGGTCAAGGGCACGTACCTTGGTTGCGGGCACATCCCTGGTAGGGGGTGTGCAAGACGCAGCTGATCGATGATTCTCTCTCATCAATGTTTCTAACTCTCTATCCCTCTCTTCCTCTCTGTAAAAAATCAATAATACACACACACACACACACACACACACACACACACACACATATATATATATATATATATATATAAAATAAATAATAAAATAAAATAAAATAATATGTGTTTTACATACCTGCCCAGGGATTTTCCGTGGCCGTCTCCCTGGATGGCCAGAGCAGGTGTTTGCGGTCAGTGTCACACTTTTGAATCTGTGTAGTTTGCAGTTCTCGTCATTATTAAAACTAGAGGCCGGGTGTGCGAAATTCGGGCACTGTATGGGGGGGGATGAGGGAAAGGGGGTGCTCCCCTCAGCCTGGCCTGCACCCTCTTGCAGTCTGGGACCCTGCAGAGGATGTCTGCCTGCTGGCTTAGGCCCACTTCTCAGTCAGACATCCCTCTCCCTTCACTCCTTATTGCCCGCCTGCTTGCTCTCGGCTCATTGGCCCTTAGTGCTGCCTCGGAGGCAGGAGAGACTCCCGCCACTCCTGCTGTGCTCACTTCTGGCTGAGTGGCGCTCTGACCACCAGGGGGAAGCTCCTGCATTGAGCATCTGTCCCCTGGTGTCAGTGCACGGCATAGCAACCAGGTGTTCCACTGTTTGGTCTATTTGCATATTGGCCTTTTATTATATAGGAGTCTAGTTAGATTGAAGGTGACTTCTAACTTCATTCTCCCCCCTCTCTGATGAAATTGATAGAAGGGTATAGAGGAGATTAAGCTTTCTTTCCAGTGGAAGTTCTCAGAGTTTCACAAACTCAGTTTTCCTTAAAATCTAGAGATGTTTCTGGTTAAACATGGAAAATAAATGTTAACTTTTGATCTCTTTGTCTTTCAGGTGGTGGCCAAAAAATACCGCAACTTTGATATTCCAAAAAGAATGACCGGCATCTGGAGATACTTAACGAATGCTTACAGTAGGGACGAGTTCACCAACACCTGCCCCAGTGACAAGGAGGTGGAAATAGCGTATAACGATGTAGCCAAGAGACTGACCAAGTAAATAGCACTCACGAGAGAGGCCTTCACATCGCTTCCCGGTTAAGAACATGCTTTTTCTAACAGACTGCTCCTCTCCCTATAAAGTAGACATTTTATTTTGCATGGACATGGCAGTTATTCAAGTTTAGGATAAAGGATAGATCAGTAGCTATCTTTAAACATACACTCCTAAGCAGTATTATTTTAAAATTATCTTGCCCTCCTACCTCCCCTCCCCTACACCCTCCTCTCTTCTAATTTGGAGGCCGCTCATCACACACTGTTTTCTTTAGAGGTGGTTTCCTATATCTGGAGCTCTCCCTGTTTTGTCCTTTCACTGTGGATAGACGGCAGGACTTTTGAGGTTCAGTGTTTAACTGTTAGTGACCATGACCTCATCGGTCAGCCCCAAACTGGTGCATAATGCGTGGTACAAGGGATATTTATGTATTTTTGGAATTTTATGATATTTAGTAAGAGTCTATGAAAGGATTGCTACTGTATCAAAACCTTCTGTTCAGTTCAGTCCATCCCAGAGATGTGCTCACGGCGTCACCACCAGAGGAGAGGGCCTCCCGCAGAAAGGCACTACAGACTTCGCTGTTCTGTTTTGTACAAGGATCTTCACTTTTCCTGAAAGCATTTCTTCTTACACCAGTGACAACGTCTGACACATGTAGCAGCTAACCGTTTAGAGAGGCGTAATATTCTCAGTCTTTTTTGAGCATTTTATCCACATTAGCTAACCCACGGGCACCTGGTATCTGCCTGAGCGTGGCGTTTGCTGAAGGACCGTGCCCAGTGCCGTCCATTTGGAGCATTATTGCTCTCTTTATTTTAAAACGCTCCTTGTTAGGTCAGCGTAGATCTTGCTGTTTGTAGATTTTTTTGAGCAACACTACATAAACTAATACTTAGTTGACTTAGCTCTAGCAGTGTACAACAAGTAGTAATGTAAACATTAACACAGAAATTAAGGTTTGTCAAAATATCAAAATTTTGTTTCTAAAGCTTATTTAATGTAGGAAACCAAAATATACCCACTCCATCCTATATTGAAAATAAGACACAGCACAGACTAGCAGGTGTTCCATCCCACCCCCATTGACTGTTAGACCGTGGGCTCGCTCCTTTCGGACTAAATCACAGTTGCTCTGGTGAGTGCGTATTTCCAGCAGTTTTTCCTAATGTCAGCCATTGCCGCCCATTAAATTTTCCACACGTTGAGGAATAGCAGTCTGCATGTTTGTTTCTTAAATTGAAGTTCTAAAGCAGAATTATTTGTGCTCTAACAGGGAGGATGAACTTAGTGGAAACAAAATGAGTTTGTTGTGTATTTACTCATTTTTTTTTCCTCAATTGGACTTTGTAGCTACTACTCCAAAGATGGGGTTGTTACTAGAAAACTTTCAATAATTTTTTTTTTTTTTTTTTTTTTTACCTAACCTGTTTAAGAAGTGCTATTTCTCACAGGCTGTTTTTGGAAATTTAAGTATATTGCTTTAAAAGGCAATGATTTCCTCCCTTTGACATGCTAACATTTAGTAAGCACTGGCTTTATGGAAGCAACCTGATTTTTATAAGCACACTGCATTTTTTTTTTTTTTTAACCTTCCAGTAATTAGTACAAAAAGATAAGTAAAGCTCCATATTGTATCCCTTTGATTCAGGGAGATAAAATTCTTTATTGCTGATCAAAAGTTTGAGCACCATCTTTTGTGTAATTAATATTGGATGCTGATTTCTCTGGTTCCAGGAAGAACTACAGGTTATCTACTGAGAAATTCTATAGCGTTAGCTTCATTGGGTAGAAATGTCACATCTGCCACCAGTACACAGCCATCATCAGTAGCGGTAACTTGGCATTCGGCCAAAAGATTCAAAAGAAGGGGTGTCATTCTTTCCCTGAAGGGTGGACTAAGTGGTGTGGAATGGAGAGCTAGTGAGGAAAGAGCAGCATTCCTTAGAATAAATGATGAAAAATACAGTCTCAACTCAATTGTGAAGTATTTTTACCTTGGATATTAACTCTCTCTCTTTGAGAAATTTATCGGATGATTGTTCTCTACCTTTAAAAATGTATCTCATGATGCATCCCTCTCATTGTCCAAGGAATAGGTAGGACTGTTAAGACACTGAGGAAGGCAGAATGATCTTTTTTCTCTGTAGAAAGACCTCATTCTTTTATCAGGGAAGTTAGATGAAATTGACATTGGCAAATGGACAAAGGCCAGTAAATAGGGTGATCCCAGCATTGGTATAAAGGTGATAGTTTAATCTTAGGAGATTTGGGGATAAAAGTTTACATGACAATTCATGTGTATGGGTTGATATAATAGAAATCATCTGTTATTATTTCTGCAACTACTGAATCATTTCCCCTTCAATTAAACCAACAAGGAGATTAGAGTCTGAAGTTTTCATGTTCCATCAGTTGGAAAGTTCTCCATTTCAGTTGATGACTTCCTTTAAAAAAAAAAAAAAAAGTAAATGCAGTGTTTCTGTACAGCTGTTATCTTCTTTTACTAGGATTGTTGTGATGAAATTAATATAAGACTCTTTTCTTGGTAACTTTGGCTTAGACAACTTACTTCTAAGCCCTTGAGCAATCTGTATACAATTAAAACATTTCCAACACTTACTCTTACCCTAAATTAATCAACTTTAGAATTTAGGCAGTTTTACTTCTGTTGAGTTTTGAGTCTCTCCAGAGTTGCATGTATATAGCTTTTATTTCTGAGCATTTAAAATATCCATTTAGAAAATATCTAACAAGATAAACACGTTAAGAAATATTTTTTTCATGAACATTTTGATACACATTTCATCAAGTTGATCAACCAATTTCTTATACTGGCTATAATAGTATTTGATTCAAAGAGAGGGGAGCATTCATTATCTATATACTATATGGACTTTTTTATTCCATTCTTTACAAAGTATCAAATGTTGGGACTGTCAAATTTTTATTTTTATCAGGGAAAATAATTCAACTCCCCAGGTCGTAATGTTGAACAGAATTGGAGTGTTTCCTTTAAAATCCTTTGAAAAGGCAAATGAAAGCCTATTGAAGAATGATTGTATTTTTCTTTTTGTCTCTGGACCCAGTATATTGCTGGCAGCTATTGTATTAAAATAAAGTATATTTTCACTACCATTAAAGGTTCTTTTTTCTCCCACCTCATGAAAATAAATAATAACTTGGGGTAACAGGGTTTTAGTTTAGACTACCCCCGCCCCCCAACAGTGGGTGATTCAGCACAATACATTAAAGAGGAGAAAACATGTGGTCTCAATTGGTGCATAAATAAGTTCATAAAAACTTTAATGGTACTCATTCTTATCAAAATAGAAACAGGTAAAATTTTAACAAATCTGATAAGACATCTGTCAAGAACTTCCCATCAAATTGTATATATAAGTATGAAACAAGCCCTCTCATTAAAGGTAGGAATAAGGCAGGATTGCCCTCTATCACAGACATAGCCACTTTATTAGAGCAGCATCCTAGCCAGTGCATTAAAATCCCCGAGAAGAATTGACCAAATGATTGTTCTTTGCAGGTGAATGCATATACATAAAAGAAATCCAAATGCAGGTACATAAAAGAAATCCAAAACAAAGTACTGTTAGAAATAATAAGGAAATTCAGCCAGATTACTTAAGATATAAGAATGAAGAACAAAAATCATTGTAACTACTATATACTAATATTTACCACATTAAAGTTAATAGATGATTTAGTATCGTTTGTTTCTTCTGGAGGAAAACTGGGTAACTGATGAAAATGGATGGGAAAGTATTTTCATTTTTGAACTTTTAGGATTTGTACCAAACATATTGCCCTAAAAAAGGGCTTTAAAAGATAAAAGGTGTTTAGGATTAAATCTAACAAATGTACAATTCCTTTATGAAGGAAAGTACAAAATATTAAAGGACCTAATAGAAATCTGTTCAATGGATAGGTGTACCATGTTCATGGATGGACAATTTAAAATCATAAAAATTTTAATTCTGTCTCAAGTATAATAATTGATAAATTCAATATATTGTCCAACAAATCTCAACTTTTTTTTTTTTTTGGGGGGGGGAGACTAGATAAATGGATTTTTAAAATTCATATTGAAGAATTTATGTCTCCGAATAGCTAGTGTTTCTGGAAGGGGGAGGGAAAGAAAAGTTGCCTGAAAACACAAAGACTTGGAAGCTCACAGTAATTAATGGGCAGGATATAGTAGGCCACAGCAACACAACACTCCTGCTGCAACACCAGGAAAAAAAAATGATTTAAAACACCAAAATTAAAAATTAAACCACCAGAAAACGGGAAGCAATAAAGACAAACTGAACTGGAATTTCAGAGGACGAAGTCTTTCTGAGGTGTACTGACAGTCTGGCCATTTTCTCCTAGGGGCATTTGCTGGAACTGAGGTTTGGGTTTGGGCCTGCAGAGGGACTCGACCGGAGGAAAACCACAAGGTTCTTGGTCATAGGGCACACTGGGAACCAGAGACACCCCAGATACAGACTAGTTTTCTCAGGGGACTGGCTGAACTCCAGAGCTCCACATGGCATGCTAGAAGCTAAGCCAAGGGCTTCCAAAAGGCAGAGGGAAATCTCAATTGCACAATATTTCGGAGAAAAAATTTCATGGGGGGGGGGGGGGGGGGCTTTCCCAAAACAAAGCCTTGTGGTTGCCTGGCACTGCGGGTGAGAGTGGGAATCGACCTCAAACAGGCACGAGCGCTTTCTGGGAGGTGATGGAGCTGTTCTAAGTACGCACTGTAGATAACGGTCTAGTATCCAGTTATACGAAGAATACCTATGCCTCAATAATAAAGACATCCCAATTTAGAAATGAGCAAGGATTCGAATAGATGTTTCTTCAAGGAAGATACACAAATGACATAAGCACACAAAACACGCTTGCCATGACTCAATCAGGGCAATGTAAATCAGAACCACACACAAAATTTACACAGTGTAAATCAGAAGCCACATCCTAGGGTATCTAGGATGGCTACAATCGCGAAGACAGGTAATTATAAGTTGTCCATGATGTGGAGAAATTAAAACCCATTCATTGCTGATGGCATTGTAGAATGCTGCAGTTGATGTGTAAAACACTTTGGCAGTTCCTCAAGAACTTAAGCAGCCCCCAATTCCTCTCCTAGGTTTATAACCAGGAGAATTTAAAACGTACATCCGTATGTCTTGTATATGGATGGTCATGACATCGTTATTCATTATAGCCACAAAAAAACCAAACAGGCATTAACTCCTGAACGGATAAAATGATGTACTCCAAAAACAGTATTCCACCGAGCCAGTGGGAAATAGGTACAACCTACAATGTGAACGGACAGGGAGAGCATAATGCTCAGTGGAAGAAGCCAGAGTCCAAAGGCCACATGCTGGAAGGTTCCATTTGTGTGAAATGTCCAGGAGAGGCGAGTGGATGGAGACGGAGAGTAAATTGGTGTTTGCCAGCAACTGGGGAGGAAAGAATGAGGAGTGACTGCTAGCGAGTATGGGGCTTGTTCCTGGAGTGAGAAATATGTTCTGGACTGAAGTAATGGTGATGATTGCACAACTTTGTGGATGTACTAAAAACTACTGACTTGTACAGGCTGGAAGGGTGAACTCGTGGCATATAAATTTCATCTTAAAACAACTGAAGGGGTGCCGAAACCGGTTTGGCTCAGTGGATAGAATGTCAGCTTGTGGACTGAAAGGTCCCAGGTTCAATTCCGGTCAGGGGCATGTTCATTGGTTGCGGACACATCCCCAGTAGGGGGTGTGCAGGAGGCAGCTGGTCGATGTTTCTCTCTCATCAATGTTTCTAACTATCTCTCTCCCTTTCTCTCTGTAAAAATTTAATAAAATATATTAAAAAAACACACAAAAAACTGAAGGGGGCAATTCTGCCTTGCTAACATTTTGGATAATCAGTGTATTGAGAGGTTGATAGGCAAAGTTAGTGATGAATGAGTTAAAAGTTCAAATTAAATGTCATTCAAAATATATTCTTAAAAGGAAGAAAGCAAAGAATTATGCTTTCTTCAACTATTATAATGGTTGCTCCACTAAATTTACTAAAAATCAGGTGAACTGTTAGTCTTCTATAGTAATTTTCTTCACCTAAAATGGGTGAATTCTCTATAGATTATAAATTATACCTCAATAAAGCTTTCTTTTTAGAAGAATTGTAAAAGCGCAAATCTGAAATTTAGAGTTCATTATGTAGGGTTAAAAGGATGGACACAGCAGAAGACAGGATTGGTTCTTGAAGACGGGTCATTTGAAAAAAATCCAAAGTGAAGCAAAGATAGAAAAAGATTGCAAAAAACAAAGCAACAATAAATATCACAAGAAAAGAGCATAAGATAAGGAACACAATCTTAAGATACGCAGCTGAAGTCCCAGGCAGAAAGTAATGGGGCAGAATCGATATTTGATGAAATAATAGTTGATAATTTTCCAGAACTGTTGATAGTTATTAACTCACAAATTCATAAAACTCAGCAAACTCCATATGAAATCAAACAAAAACACCTAACCTAAAGAATATCATAGTCAAATTGCTAAAACCAGAGAAAATTCAAAAGATTAGCTAGAGAGAAAAGTTATCTTTTTAAAATTTTTAATTTTTTTTTTTATTTCAGAGAAGGAGAAAGAGAGAAACATCAATGAGGAGAGAGAATTATCGATGGGCTGCCTCCTGCACTTCCCTTACTGGGGATGAAACCTGCAGTTAGGGCATGTGAATCAAACTACAACTTACTGGCTCATGGGTTGATGCTCAACACCTGAGGCATACCGGCTGGGTATGGATACATAACTTTTGAAGGAGAAATAATAAAATGTCTGGCTTTTCAGCAAAAACTTTGAGAGAACAGAAAACAGGGGTATTTTCAAAGGGCTGGGAAAAAAAAATCTGCCAAGCTAGGGTTCCATACATAAATGAAAACATTCTCGAAAGTGAAGGCAACATAAAGATATGAGAACATTAATATTAGGATATTTAAACAACAATAATGTCTTGACATACACTGTTACAAAATATATAATAAGAAATTTGTAACAGTGGTGGAAGGATGGGAGGAAGGTAAGTGGAGTCAAGTACTTGCATGACCCTTACATTATTTAGCAAGTAAAAGTAACCATCTAAGAAAACTATAATAAATCACAAATATTGTAATTCTAGAAAAACAAAGATTACAAGAATAAATAACTTTAAAAATCTAATAGAAAAAATAACAAATCTAATATTCAAGGGGAAATGGTGTTTAAAAACGTATCTAGCTGATTGATGTTTCTCTCTCATCGATGTTTCTAACTCTCTATCCCTCTCCCTTCCTCTTTGTAAAAAAACAATAAAAATATATTTTAAAAATAAAAAAATAGCCTGGACCGGTTTGGCTCAGTGGATAGAGCGTCGGCCTGCGGACTAAGAGGTCCCGGGTTCGATTCCGGTCAAGGGCATGTACCTTGGTTGCGGGCACATCCCCAGTAGGGGGTGTGCAAGAGGCAGCTGATGGATGATTCTCTCTCATCGATGTTTCTAACTCTTTATCCCTCTCTCTTCCTCTCTGTGAAAAATCAATAAAATATATTTAAAAATAAAAAAATAAAAAAATAAAAAGTAAAAACATATCTACCGGTAGTGACTCCAAAAGAAAGCAGGGCAAGAGGACTAGATGAACAAAGGGTAGGACAAATTGGAAAAATAGCAAAAGGTTTGCTATAAACCCTATACCATTAGTAATTATAAATGTACACTGAGTGGCCAGATTATTATAATCTCTGAATGCATAATAATCTGGCCACTCTGTGTGTGTGTGTGTGTGTGTGTGTGTATATATAAAATATTAGAGGCCCAGTGCATGATTTCATGCATGGGTGGGGTCCAACCAGCCTGGCCAGGGGGAGGGGACATGGGTGGTTGGCTGGCCTGCCTGGTTGAGAGTACAATTTGCATATTAGCCTTTTATTATATAGAATATACTCTGAGTGGCCAGATTATTATGCGTTTAGAGCTCATAATAATCTGGCCACTCAGTGTAACTGGACTAAACAATTTGGTGACAAGTCAGAGAGTATCAAACTGGATTTTAAAAAAGCTAAACCCAACATATGACATTCACAAGACACAAA